GCAATATATCATTAAAAGAAATCTTTTTTTAAAAATGCACACCATATTTAATAAATCCATCCATCACAAGTCACTATAACATTAACCTTTGTAATTTGAAAGGTTGTGAATTATAGATTATCCCAATATATAAAAGTTATATTAATATAAAATTATATATATATACATATAGGAAAAAGCCAGGGTTAGCCCACTAGCTCATATGAACATATGAGCACAACGGCCCAGAGTGAATCTAAGCTGATCTGAAGATCACGGATGTTCGGTAGTGTTTGAACTTTTTTTTTTTTCTACAAATCCAAATCATTTGAAATTTTAGACGCGTGTTCATCAAAAATAGGTGAATTATTGTTTTTCACTTGAAATTTTAGGATTGTGTTTACTTGAAGTATATGTTATTTTATATATGTTTTTCATTTTTTCTTTTCAAATATTCTTATTAGTCTTAAAATGAGAAAATTAATGAATTATTGTCTAAATATTCTTATTAACTATTTACATGTTTTTGGTAATTTTTAGTAACATTTTGGTATAAGTTTTAGGTAAATTTTTTAATTTTAGCAAATGTTTTTATTTTTTCTATGTATAATCTGTTGGGTCCAAGTCCAGCTATGGGTCCTCCAAATAAATTATGGGTCTGGGTCCTTGTCCAGATATACTGGACTCGGTCGTGTTTGGGTTCGAGCAAACTCGGACCCTATCCAACCCAATCCCAGCCTTACTCAAGACATAAACATAGAGTTACGGCTGGCAATGCCCCGCGCTTGGGCTACGTCGCCTTGGCCCTAGTGTGTCATAGTCCCTATAAGGGCAGCCCAGGTCTGACATTCCCATCTTTTAAGGCAATACATGCTTCAAAAAATATAGCTTGAAGACTAGGTCGAAAGGCTAAGCCAGGCCAGGCATGGCTAAGGGTGGCAATGGGTCAGGTCGCGTTCGGGTCAACCTGGACCTAGACCCGTCTTGAATCAGACATTCCCATCTTTTAAGGCAATACATGCTCCAAAAACTATTGAGGGATATTCAAACAAATGGAACAAAAAAAATAAAAATTGAGGGCAATCCATAAGAATATAGAATATTGTTTTTAATTTTTTTTTCATTTTTTACTGCTCTCCCCTCTCTCTTTTCTGACCATGTTGTGATGTTCAAACTATTTTCGCATGTCAATATGGTATAATTAATAATATACTGCCTTGCAAATGAGTGATCTTTTGGAATAATAATAGTATGCTATAATTTGTAGTAAATTGTCTTGAAAGTTAGCAGTTCTTAGTTTATTACAAAATTATCTGATATATCTGTGTCATATATTCACATTATTCGTCACACTTTTCTATATGTATCATTTGCACATTCATCTTCTTCGACAAACGCAGATCTGAAGATGAACAGGCCTCTAGGTTAATGTTTGAGTTTTGAGTAGTTTTGTTTTTATGATGCGTATGCTTATAACATTAAAGTTCTCTGATGCCTGCTTACTAGAAACAAGCAATTCTAACTCATACATTAAAGTATATGCATGGTTACGTGCGAGCATATGCATGCATGCGTGCGCTTGCTTTGATATGCCAATAGGTATGATGTGTTAGGTAATAAACTTTAAAAACCATGAAAATTATAAAGCATTGAAGTCGCATTATATTATTCAAATTAAATTTGGTATTTGTAGTTCTATGAAATTTTATAAAATCATCTAATTCATGGGCTCTTAAATTATTGGAATTTTGAAAGAAAATCAAGCTCATCTAAGCACGAAAAATATTAATTAATTAAAATGTAAATTAATTTCATGAAAGGGATGGACATCTAATTAAAAAGTCATAACCCCGTGCACTTTGGTTGAGTAGAGAGAGAGAGAGACGTGGATTACATAGTTTAATCGAAGAGAGTAAGAAAGTTGGTTGGAGAGAGAAAGGATTCAGATAGGAAAATAAAATATTTGTCTATTTTGAAACTTGGAACATTTTAAAATCTTTTTTTATTTATTTATTGTACGTGTAATTTATTGCTATTTTTTTATCCACTTGAAAACCATATACTTCAAATTTACTTATGATTAGTTATCTCTTAATCTAAGATTTATAAAAAGCGATTGAATATTGATTTTCATACTGTCCATCCATGCATGCCATAATTTTATGATTGCATTATTTGGGTGCAACCTACGAACAACTAAATTTCCACAATTTGAATTTAATATTTTGAAATGTCAAAATAATTTTTTTCTTAAATATGAAAATAAATAATTAAAAGTAATGTCTCATTCACTTTTAAAATTTATAAAAATATATAATATTGTTTTTATTAAAAATTTCAAAGTTTGTGAACAGTCTACGATGAATTTCTTATTTTTCTCAAAACAAATTTTTAAATATCCTTATAAACAATGCATATATTTCCATCACTGACAATGACAACAATGTCGCTGTTTTATTGCGCTGATGTTATATATTTCATAGAAAAAGTTTATATAAGGTTGCAACCTTAAAATGTAGAATTACAGATGCACCTCAAAAATCCATTTGAAAGGCTGTTTTAACGTTGAAAAATTATCTAATTATTCATCTCGACATCGAGATGTATGAATATAAAAAAAAAGAAAACAAAAGATTTAGAGTTCCAGAAATAGTGCATCTTGCAACACATTATCTAGACCGTCCATTTTCAAGATTTCCATATGTTTATAGATCTACTTGATTTTAACTATATCGGAGTTTAAAATTTTATAATTAGAGATAAAAATAGATTTTAAGATAATCCTAAGAATTTATTACATCAAGATTACATGTTATAATAAAATTTGGAGGTGCGCCTTAATTGGATTGTTTAAGGTTGCAACCTTATTGAAACCGCACCCATATTTCATTGCTTCTATCACATATGAATATGATTATTTACTTGATCATTTATTTCACTTATGTGCAACGCACTAACTAGTGTATATAAAGTTATAAAGTGGCTTTTAGATTACCTTATAATGTAGAACTACAGATGCCATTTAAAAATTCATCGAAAAAGGTAATTTTAATATTGAAAAGCCCTTTGATTGATCATCTCGACATGGAGATGTATGACTATGAAAAATAAAAAGATTTTAAGTCTAAGAAATAGTGCATTTTAAAACATATTATCCACACCGTTCATTTTCACAATTTTCATATGTTTATAGATCTATTTGATTTTAACCATTTTTAAAATTGAAAATTTTATAATTAGATATAAAAATAGATTTTGAGATAATCCTAAAAATATTTCACATCAAAATTATATACCATGACAGAATTTAAAGGTGCATCTTACCTCTACCCCTACGGATGCATCTGTATGCAAACTGCACCCTTTGATTATTCACCAGGGAAAATAAAAACAGAATAGGTTTTGATCATCTTGGGTGGTGGGTCCTCAATGAGAAACATTGGTAACAGATGCATATATGGTAGGCATTATACACATGAGCATGAATAGAGGGCTCAAATATAATTTTTTTTTTTTTTTCAAAGTTATTCTATGGGTCGAATTGGTTACATCTCCAAAATTTGGGATTCTAAGATTAACTCTCTGTGGGATTTTATCCGAGGGTGTAAATAGATATTCTACTCCTGTAAGAGTGGACTATCGTTTGGTTATTCCATCTCTGGCTGACAAGTAAAAGAAAACTTAAAAATTGAGGTCAATGAGGCTAATTTTGACTAGGTGTCCCTCTGAGGAATATAAGATAGGTGCCATGCTTTTGCTGCAATTTCTCTGATGCAATCTAACATGGAAGTTTCATAAATTCCAAGACCACATAATAATAAATGAGAGAGAAGTGATTTGGATGCCTTGGGAAGAAGGCCTTACGTGTGGGCTTATGTCATCCATTCACGTTTGTTGGTCTTACTTGTTCAGTGGACAACATTTTATGGATAAGCCTCTACCATATTAGATTTACTAAAAGAATCTAATTTTGCAACCTTAAAGAATCCAATTAAAAAACACCTCAAAATTTTATTTAAAATCAAGTAGATCAATAAACATATGAAAATCTTGAAAATAGATGGTCTAGATAATGTATTACAAGATGCACTATTTCTGGGACTCAATATATAGATTATAAATTCATACATCGAGATGATCAATTAGAGGTTTTTTCAATATTAAAACAATATTTTTCGATAGATTTTTGAGATGCATATATAATTTTACATTTTAAGGTTGCAACCTTATATAAACTTTTTCCTTACTTAATTAGTATAACAATGGAAAATAGTTTAATAGGGGAAAAGGGTTGGGCCGTGGTGTTAGCACCTCCATAATTAGTTGTCACGTTCTGGTTTCCTATCCCCCCTGACATCATCCATAATACCTTTAAAAAGCTAACTTCCAATCTATTTGAAAAAAAAAAGAATGTTTCCACTATAATTAGTTATCACGTTCTGGTTTCCATCTCCCTGACATCATCCATAATACTTTTAAAAAGCTAACTTCCAATCTATTTGAAAAAAAAAAAGAATATTTGGCTGCAGCCCTATCAAAATAGGTAAACCCCCAACTTATAACTCTTCGATAATTGTAATTCAAGCATTCAAAAACCTTTACAATAATCATCTCGACTTGAAACTCTATGGTTGTGAAAAAAAAAAAGGATTGCAAGGTCTAAAAGTAGTGTATAGTGTAACAAATTATCTAGACCGTTCATTTCATCCTAAAAATAAGTGTTCACATATTCACAAGATCTTTACTATTTTTTTGAATTTCAAATTTTATTGTCGATGTTAAAAATTAATTCTAGAACCATCATGAAGATTTTCATCGATGGAAATACTTTTGAGATGAGAATTATTAATTGGAAAATTGTCTCATGTCGGCTAGACAGCATTTCTATGTTAAAAAAAGAGTAAAGCATCCATCTTAAAGATGAATGTAAGTGGATGTTCTATCTAAAAACAATAGAAACTAACGGTAAAAATATTTTTTTACTAGAATTATTATTTTTAGTTTTTAAAATTTATTTTTTATATTCATGATATCCATATTATAGATTACATATCTTTAAAAACTAAGTCTTTAAATCCATCTCAAAAATAGATTTATCAAGAGCCCAGTATTTCTACATATGCGGCCTTGGCTGCATAAAAACCGGGTCCTTCATTATTTTGTTTTCATAAGCCTAGGTAGAAATGCGGGCGTGGAAACCGCGACCTTTTGTCTTTGGCGCCTATATAAAATATGAGGTTTATTTACATTTCATAATAAACTATAAACTTTTTCCTTTCATAGTTGCTATTTTTTGAACTTCCTTGCGCTCGGCCTTTTTAAAATTTGGTTTCATTTGATTACTTTTCTAAATTAGTCATTAGCTTCTTCCCCAAGCAACAAAATATAGTCCGAGAGCCTCCTCATCACCGCCATGGGCCAGAGCTTTGGCATGCAGCAAACGGCCCCATAGGGAGTAGGAATGGTACGAGTCAGGACCGCCCAGCCCCGGCCCATACCTGCAAGCCTAAAATATTAAAACGAGTAGGCTGAAGACTTGACCACACCACAACCCGATATATAGCCGCGGTGGCCCAAAATCTCCAAGCAACTGTCTCTCTCTCTATTACGGTGGCTAGCAGAATCGAGGATGGTTATGGAGGGAGAGGGAGAGGGAGAGGGAGAGGGAGAGTCAGAGCAGAGGCACAATGTTGTGTTATTCCCATTTATGGCTCAGGGCCACATGATACCCATGCTCGACATCGCGCGGATGCTTGCGGACCATAGGCTCGCCGTGACTCTGGTCACCACCCCTCTGAATGCGGTTCGGATCCGGGCAGCGGCGTGGAGCCCCAGGGTGCGTGTCCTTGAGATGGAGTTCCCATGTGCTGAAGTAGGCTTGCCAAAAGGTTGCGAGAGCTTCGAAGATGTCCCTTCCTATGATTTGATGTCCAACTTTCTGCGGGCAACCGAGATGCTCCGAGAACCCTTTGAGAAGCTCATCAGACAGGAGGTGGAGAATCCCCTCTGCATCATCTCGGACACCTTCTTCTGGTGGACTGTGGAGACGGGGAAAGTGTTCGGCATCCCGAGGCTTGTTTTCCATGGCACCAGCTGTTTCAGCCTTTGTTGCTTACGCTGCATCCGTGAACACAAGCCTCACAACAACGTGGGCTCAGACGCTGAGCCCTTTTTGCTGCCCGGATTGCCCGGCGAGCTAACGTTCACGAGAACCCAGCTGCCCGAGTTTTGGAAGGTTAATGTGGAGTTGATGGCTTCTGGGTTTGACAGAGTTTTTGAGGTGATGAGGCGAGCGGATGTGCAGAGTTACGGCACTCTTGTGAATAGCTTCAACGAGCTGGAGCCAGAATATGTGGACCACTACAAGAACATGGAGGGGACGAAGGCGTGGCCCATTGGGCCGGTGTCCCTTTGCAATCGAGATCAAATTGACAAGGCAGCGAGGGGAAAGAAGGCCTCTGTCGACAAAAGCGCATGCCTGAGATGGCTCGACACACAGAAACCAGAGTCGGTCGTGTATGTGTGTTTCGGCAGCACGCACAAGCTCGCCCCAACGCAACTAACAGAGATTGGACTCGGTTTAGAGGCGTCCGGGCTGCCGTTCATCTGGGTGGTGAGAGGGGACACAGAGCAGGTGGACCAGTGGCTGCCAAAGGGTTTTGAGGAACGTGTGAAGGGAAGGGGAATGGTAATCAAAGGATGGGCACCGCAGATCCTGATCCTCTCACACCCGGCAACCGGAGGGTTCGTGACGCACTGCGGCTGGAATTCGACGCTGGAGGGCCTGACTGCGGGGCTCCCGATGGTCTCGTGGCCACTGTATGCAGAGCAGCCGTTGAACGCGAGGCTGGTGGTGGATGTGCTGAAGGTAGCGGTGGCAATCGTTGACAAGGAAACCCAAGGAGTGGTGCCGAAGGAGGCGGTGGAGCGGGCAGTGTCGGAGATGATGGGGAATGGTGAGATGAGGGGGAGGGCCAGAGAGTTGGGGGAAATGGCGAGGAGAGCAGTGGAGGATGGAGGTTCATCTCATATGAACCTCACCCTCTTCATCCAGGATATGATCACTTATAAGAAGCCCCACGCCATGTGATGCTCCTCTCTCCTGCAATTCATCTGAATGACAAGAATCAACCATGTGATGCTCCTCTCTCCTGCAATTCATCTGAATGACAATAATCAACCATGTGATGCTCTTCTCTCCTGTAATTCATCTGAATCAGAAAGATATTCGCTGTCATTTTATTTTCCAATTTTGTAATTCGTCCACTTTGGTTTTGTCGTGGTTTGTCAATGAAGGAATTGCAGCCAAAAGATTTGGTGCTCCTAAGGGAGCATATAGGCCGCTTATTAAACATATATATAAAAGTCAATAAATTTTTTTCCAATTTGCAATCCCTATGGGCTTAAGAAACAAAAAATAAACAATGAAAATTGAATAAAAACCGTTTAATTTTTTAAGAGTGAGATCTATGTATTAGAAATCTCAAAATTTAAATTATTCCTTTTAAGAATTGTATAAATGTAAATTATTATTTTTATCGAATTATGTATAATAAGATCATTTATTTTTGTTACAAGGAGGTCAGAATTGTCAGTAGCCATTAGATGTCAAATTAAATGGCTTGGAATATTTTACAAAATTCAAGAATTTGTTTTTGAACGGTAAGTCTAATCAATGACACACTCACGACCATCCGATTTAAAATCTAACGAATAAAAGTAATTGTCACCTCTTGTTCTTAAAAATAAATATTTTATTATTTTAAATATAATCATCTGGTGATTTTTTAGTGGCTTCTAAAATTTTTGATCAATATAATATTCCCAAGCCTTCTGCTTGAGTCTCCATGGGAGTATCGTATACGCATTAGATCACCCCACACATTGAAATGTCAAATTCGGTGGTTTAAACGCATTAAAAACAGTTTTAATTGAGTTCCTTTTCCGTGGAGAATGTTTTTTTCAGGAACCCTTTTTTTTTTTACATCTAATGAATAAGGTACTTGTGGCATTTTTGTATAAAAAATAAATTACTGTATTCTTTCTCAAAATTCAAAATTAAATTAATTCGAAGACAACAGATTTACTGCCTACAAACATTCAAAATCCATGATCGATAAGGCATAGCTAAAAAGGTTAGAAAAATAAAGACTGAGGCCCATTTAGGTAGGGAGCAGTGTTTTGATGAGGGACCTGGTTTCTATGAGGCCAAGCTCGCATATGTAAAACTGCGGGCCTATTGATAAATATATTTTTGAAATTGATTTTAATACTGAATTTTAAGGACATGTAATAATTAATATGGAGATCATGAATGAAAAAATAAATAAATTTTAAAAGCTAAAAATATAATTTTACTAAAAATATTTGGACCGTTAGTTTCCATTGTTTTCAGATGGAACACCTGCTTGCATCCATGTTTAAGATGGATGCTTTACACTTCTCGGACCGCATATGTAGAAATGCGGTCCAGCCCACATAAGACAATTTTCCTTTGATGAGTGCTGAGGTACATTATATTTTGGATTAGAACAATAGAAGATCAATTTTATTGTTTTAATTACATTTGCAAAAGTAGTGAATTAATAGGAAGTGAATACAGAAAAACTATATAAGCTAGGGCTTATAACAGGCCAATTTGAGAAACTGGATTTGTGGAACATCACGTTCTGCATGTATGTAGATCTCATCTAGGCCGTCCAAATAATAAAGTACTCGTCCATAAAAAAAACAATTCATCTAAGCCTTCTAGAGCTCAAAATTTGATTTAACTGAAATCAATGATGTCAGGCAAAATCTAATCGCATAGAAAATCTGTGTTTTGTGAAGTTCAGCTGTACTAATACAGCTTTACTTTTAATAGTGGGAAAGTCTATTTGGTAAGTATGTACTTGAGACCCCACCCATTGTGGTTAATGTCCATAGAATGTATTTAGTTATTAGCAAAGTTCTTGGTTACGTTGTTAAGATCATAGTTAACCATGGTTGGATTGGCCTAGGGGGTTTTACCGGCGGCTTCGCTTGGCTGATCTAATCCAAAGGAAAATCTGAATGTGGTTGAAAATGGGATAAAACAATATTTGACGGGTTAGATTGGTTAAATAAAATAGGAGAACCATTTTTTATAGATAAAAGATATTCTATTCCCTCGGGACTAGAATGTTCATTTACTTCCTCTAGGAAAAGCCCACTGAGGACTAATTTTAAGGCTCCAAAGTTTGGGGATGTCACCTCTTCAACCTATAGATCGATCTCAATAATAAAATTACCTAATTGTGTCCTTTATGCACTTAGAAAAAATAATGTCTTGAGATTGAATAGTGGCCATCTAGTTTTTTTTTTTTTTTAATATGGCGTGATCTAAGCATTAGAAAACTCAAATTTTCAAATTCTATTTTTTAGATTAGTCATCTAGTAATTTTTAAGTGAATCTCAAAATATCAGATTGAAAAACTCCTCTCAAGTAGGTTTTTGAAGTTTGAACTAAGGGAGTATAGTAAACTATGCTCCAGAGGTCATAATTTATGCTTTTTTTTTATAATATTGTATTTTATATTTTTAAACTATTTATTTTTAAATTTATTCACTTTAAAATTCTAATCTAATCTCTCCAACCAGCAGTTAGGCTTGTTTTGATTTATGAAACCCCTCATAATTTCAATGGCTGGTAAAGTTCTAATAGCACAAAGTAACAATCATGCTAAGAGAAATCAACCGTTGAGCGTAAGAGACAGATGTAATAACATTTGATTAAAATTAGCAATCAAGAGAAATCAACCGTTCAAATGAAGAGAGAGATATCAAGCAAGAGAAATCAACCGTTGAGACCTCATAAGGAAAATCGTCGAGGGAGCAGCTAGTTTGTGACCCATGCACCGCGTTTGTCTCTTATAGGCCAAAATTAGCCATTACAACGTTCTACGAAATTGAATTTTAAAACATGGTGTTATAATTGGGGTATTGGAAATGAAGATTCATCAATTGGGGTTAGTTCGTGCTTCCCAGTTTGTGAGGTTTTTTTTGAGGGAAAAAGTTTATATAAGGATGCTACTTTATAACGTAGTACTACGAATGCCTTTCAAAAATCCATCCTATAAAGTAGTTTTAATATTGAAAAACCTTTTGATTGATCATCTCGACATCAAGATGTATGATTATGAAAAATAAAAAGATTTTAAGTCTAAAAAATAGTGCATTTTACAATATATTATCCACGCCATCCATTTTCAAGATTTTCATATGTTTATAGATTTACTTGATTTTAATTATTTTTAAAATTTAAAATTTTATAATTAAATATAAAAATAAATTTTGAGATAATCCTAAAAACATTTTATATCAAAATTATGTACTTTAAATTTGATGCTGCACCTTACGGATGCATCGGCATGCAATGTGCACCCTTTCTCAAAAATGGCTAAAATCTGCACATACGGATGCATCCGTATGCAATCTGCACCCTTTCTTAAAATTGGCTATTTCTTCCAAGAGTGCATGTGGACATTCACTGCCATTGTTCCCGTGGGTTCTTCATGAGATGTATCATGGGATTGGAAAGGTGTGACAATGGACTATTTGACGAGGCAAGGTATTGAATATCATTTATAGGACTAATCAAACAGTGGTGGACTCGGATTTTTAGTCCCCCGACTCATACTATTCTTGTACGGGCTCCTTCTAACATTATTTTTATCGAGAAAAAAGTTTATATAGAGCCGTGGCTCTAAACAATAAAATTAGTGCCTACCTCGAAAGTTTCACCAAAAGAGGTTGTTTTGATGCCCACCTATCCTCAAATTGATCATCTAAACATCAAGATGCATGGGCATAAGAAAAAAATGGATTTTAAGTTTTGATAATAGTGCATCTTCTAACTCATTTTTGGGTCATCCATTTTCAAGATTTTTAAGTTTTTATAGATTTGCTCGACCTACACTATTTTGGAAGCTTTAAACTTTATAACTAAATGTGAAAATATATTTTACGGTTATCATAAAGATTTCCAATATCGAAACTACATTTCGCATCACTATTTGGAGGTGGGTTCCAATTTGATTGTTTTGAGACTCGGCTCTATACAAACCCTTTTGTTTATGATAAAATTCAATTTTTTTTTATTTTTTTATTGGAAATTGACTATTAGGATGGAGAGATGATATGTGTAAATTTTGGGGTGATTTAAATGCTACAAACATGGTTTTTTA